ACCTTGCAGAAATGAAGGTAATTTTCTTCAAACCTTTCATGTAACACAACATCTGAGTCACTTAAGAGTTTGAAATGTCATATACTGGGAAACCTAAGTTTGGATGGAAAACAAAATTTCCCATGATTTTTCAGAATTATTTGCTGCCATAAATATTTTGGGGTAAAAGAACAATTAGCTAACCTTCCCTTCAAATTTTTCACACTGCTAAATATTCAGTAGAATTAAAGAATGGCTTCTAAAACTGAAGGGCTGTCTAGAATAAAACCTGATTCTGATAATAATATAAAAATAACACCAGTATGCAAGAACACCTCCTTAACCTTGGTACAGCTAAGGGCCTTTGTTACCCCTTTTTCTTCTGTTTGCAATGCTGATTTAACACAGTTTCAAAAAGAAGAAGAGTTTGTATATCTTCACCAGAATCATTAGCAAAATGTAATGCCATCAAAATATATGCAACTATATTTCATTAGATTAATGAGTGGAATCTATTGTTTATTGGTTGTACTATATTATTGCTGCTAGAGACCCAAATGTATGGACCTCAGACACCAGAGCTGTTTTTCAAATTGCAAGCACAGCTAAGGCTCATGATATTTGTAGCATTATGTAATATTTTAAAAGCTGAGTGACAGATCAAAATACCAATTATAAATAAATTTTAAATAAATTTTAATACCCTGTTATCTAGCGTTGACAAACTTCAGTTCACTAAAAGTTAATTATACAAGATTCTGTACTCCAGGAAATTCTTTGCTGATGGCAAACAAGGCAGCTGTTAGAAGGTGCTGATGTTTAATTTTTTACCTTAGACAAAACTTGCTGTAATTTTATCCAATACCAAAAAGTATCCCTTTCACAAAAACTTAGAACTTGGAATTTATCTTTGTTTAAAATTTCTAAGTAGTGGTTGTGTGTTAAATGTTAAACACTTATTTAAGGAGCAAAGGAGCCAAAGCTGTTTGCTTTCATGTAATAACTTCATGTAATAAAAATTCTAATACATGTTTAAAATAAGGGATATGTTACCCTACAGTGTTGTAATTAATGTGCACTGGAATGCAAGACCACAAAAAGTAGATATAGAAAAGTTGTATAGATTTTAATCTAATGGGTTTAGCAGATCCATATAATGCCAATCTTAAAGATTTTTCTGATGAGGCTCAACTGCAACAGAACAGGAGTAATAACTTGCATAATGAAGTGGTCAGAATATGAAAACAATACTGAAATATGAAAACAAGACGAAAATATTTTGGTGATAAATAGGTTTCCTCATTAGCTGGACTGTTTGAGGGTTCTGGTGTATTCAGTTCATGCTTGTGCCCTGAATCCTCTAAGAACACACAAACATTTGCTTCAATGGGAGTTGCAAGAGGATCCCCACCTCCAGTTGGAGACCAGACTTATAGGAATATGTATTTATATATGTATCTGTATCTGTATATATTAGGAGCACATTTACTCCCCACTTGTATTTATATGCTAAATGGAAGCCTGTGTTTTGTCTCAGCAGGGAAATATATGCTGCTCTGGCCTCAGGAGATCCTGGCTCCTATGCAGCTCCTTTCTGGGAAACTCTGTTCAGTAAGATGCTCTTGAGAGTGAAAATGAAATACAAACTGTGTTAGGTGAGCAGTAGCTGTTAAAGGAAGCCACATGGCCTATTTGGCATATCTTTTTGGAACTGTTTCAATTCAGATATACTTAATGGTGCAAGTCAGAGTAAATCCCATTTTGAGCAATGCAGTCAAGTTCCAAAGAGGAAATATGGAGAGAAGCATGATTCAAAGCAGAGAGGCAGTTGGATAGGTGAGCTGCAGCCAGACTCACTAAAAAACCACATAAACCATCTATCTGATGCAGCGTGGCTTCCTGACTCTTATTTGTTGGCACACAGGTACTGACTCCCAGATTAAGTCACAGAAGTCCCAAGGGGAAATGTACTGAACCAGGAAACATGATGGAGAACAGAAAGCTCCCTAGAGAGCTCTTCCTCAAGGGAGACCTTGGGGAAAGGTCACAGACCTTGGGGGAAGGTCCTCAGCAGAAGGCTGAGACTGACTGTGTGTGCACTGGCTCTCAGCCACCATGGTGCAAACAGGCAGGAGTTCTCCCACCTCAGGATGCTTCCAGGCTCCTGGAGTTTCGTGTTTCTTACTGAAATTGGGTTCTTTGCTAAGCAGAGAGCATGGCTCACATGGGCTGTGCCTGTATTATCAAGTTGTATAATGTAAGCACCTGAGAACATGACTGTGGATCTTACAGGAGGGATTACTCACTTGGAGCATCTCCAGTCAGATCCACTGGATTGAGCATACATCAATGGTCAGTACATTTCCTGTGATTCTGAAGCTCACCTTCTATTTTATTTTCACCTGGAAAGAATTTTGTCTACGTGCTCTGAGTCCATGCTGCAAGGCAAACTGCAGCATGTTAAGAAGGGCTGACCAGCAGATATTATCCAAATTGTGTGCCCAGTGCCTTTCTCAAGACTTGTTGGGTCAAATCTGACATTGCAAGCCACACCCTTCACACACCGAGGTGAAGGCTGGGTTTTTGTCTGATGAGTGATTCAACTTTCTAGACTTCCTCTTTGGAAAACAATATTGCAAGGCTGAGAGTTACTAAAGATGGTACTTTAGGCTCCTATTACTGTGTAGCTTCTGATGTTATTCTCCAGAAAAATTAGAAATAGGGTGATTTGGAGGGACAGGGTTTCACCGTGCTAACTCCCAGGGGTGGGTCCCAGATTTAGGTGTGGTCAGTTAACATTGGCTACCAGACAGAGCCTGTGGGTAACAGAAATGCTGTCTCAGCCTGGCTTCCTGGCACAGGTGCTCTCCACAGTCTCTAAACCCCATCCCAGCAACCCAAAATGGCTTTCAGCAAAGACATGAATCAACTGTGCTGTAGGCTGTGAACTCTCCTCTCAATTTGTAACAGCTTTGCCACACAGTTCTTACACTGTCCTATTACTATAACTTCTTTTGCATACACACTGGTTTTCAAGGATTTCTGTCCTCTGACTTACCAGGGTGCCCCTTTCATTAGGTCCAATTTAAATTAAGGGTTTAATATTTATCTGTACTTTAAGTGCTTAGTAGCTGACAAAGCTTAAAAGCAACAACAATAAATAGAATGGCAGATACTAGATTGAAAAAGACCTTTGAGACATCAAGTCCAGCCTATCACCTAACAGCACTTCAACTAAACCATGACACTGAGTGCCATATCCAATCTCTTTTTAAACATCTCCAGGGACAGTGATTCCACCACCTCCTTGGGCAGGTGATTGCAATGCCCAATCACACTTTCAGTGAAGAATTTTTTTCCTGATGTGTAATATAAACTTCCCCTGCACAGCTTAAGATAACAGAGGCAGAAAAGGCAGTTTCTTCACAATAAACACTTCATACTGCTGCTAACTTGTGCAGTCTAAACACAAGTTGAGGTATCCAAGCACTGAGAAAGCTGCAGTTTAATCCAGGTGAGGCTCTTTCTGTTTTAAACCAAGGCTGAAACTAGGAAGGGTAAGAGAAATGATAAACAAATTGTCAACAACAATTTTGTAGCTTCATTTTCTACTACACTCATATGGTGAATATACTAGAAAATGGGTTCTGGGTTTGCATTTCCTTTCTAGCCTTGTGCAGCAGGACATTAAATAATAGCATTTGCAGTCTAATCTGCACTTTAATATGTTTTCTTCTGTTGCTTAATTTTATTAATGGAAAGAGGAGGAGGATCTTGTGGTGAGGACAGAGTACTGGAAGTCAGGTGATGTGGGTTATATTCAGAGTTCTGCCACAGGCTTCCTGTGCAGGCTGCCGTAATCAGGTTTGCTAATATACAAAATGAAGATAATGACATTTCCCCTCCTTACCAGGGTGTTGTGACACTTAATTCATTAATGTTTGTAAAGTGCTCTGTGCTCCTTGCTTCAAAATGTGCTTCTTACTGTAATAATGTCTTATGGATGGTATTAAATTTGAGAATAATGTTATTTTAGTGCCGGCATACTTCACTTGGCTGAAGTGTAGTAAAGACCGTAATTTCCAGTATTTTATGAGCTACTGGAATTTTTAGATGACTTACTTGAAATTTAGCTAATATAGTTACAGTTATAAAACCTATGTCAATACTGTGTCTGCTGCTTTTTATTTTGCCTTTTTCATTATGATGTAATATTTAATAATAAGCAAGACTGAGTTGTCCAGACTAAAAGAAGATATAAAGAAAGAGTTTGAAATAAAGAGTCTAGCTGCTTGATTTTTAGCTCTGCTACACAGCCTGCTCTCTCCCTAGTGAGTCACAGTCCTAATGCAAAATGCCCAGAAAAACTGAGCAAGAAATTAGGTTAAAAAAAAAATAAGGGGGAGTATAAAAATGGGAACTTTAGGTATTTATCTAAGTTGTAGCAGTACTATAGGATCAAGCAATATATGTATAACTTATGTAGTACAGTTAAAAATGAAACAAAAAATTGTTCACTTACAAAATCTCTGAAGGTTTGTCAATGCAACTCCAAATAAATTCAATACAAATCACAAAGCTAAATATTGCATAGGAAAACAACTCAACTAAAATTTTCTAAACATGCAGTAGAGTATATTTGTTAATGTAAACAGAATTTGTGCATAAAATGAACTCCTAAAATGAGTTTTTAAGAAACAGGAGAGTATTAACAACATTCATTGTGCATATCTGGATTGTTCAGAACATGCTCCTTCACTGAAATTCCACTCCTAGATGAAATCTAATGCAAATCAGACAATTGTAATACGTAAAACTATCTGGTTTTTATAGGCAGTGATAATTACATGGGGTGAAGAAAGGAGTTATAAACTTACCGTCACAGGAGCAATTCATTCATGCTGTGCATGGTCAGGCTGTAACCTCGCTGCTGGCACAGTACAAGAAAAATGTACATGTCCCCTTACAAGCACTGTCCAACATTAGATTAGTAGGAAAAAAGGAAAGCAGCTGACACTTACTATCAGTATAAAAGTTCCCAGGAACTCTGAGAGGGCTTCTTTAACCAGGCTGTTCTTCAAGGAAAATTTCTCCTTTAAACTTCTTTTGCTTTTCTGGCTCATTTTGGCTTCCTCTATTGCTCTGGTGCCCTAGTTACAAATACACACAAAATTTGTTCTGTATTTGTCCCTGCTTCAGCTGAACTTTGACACTTTTACTTAAACATTGAAATATGAGATTTCATCTTGCACAGCCAGTGAAATCATCTGACTGCAGGCTTTGACAGAACCAACTCAACATGCCCTAACAATTCATCATGGGTTTGTCATTCTATCCCTTCTCTGAGTGCATTCTATTTATACTGGTTAGATAATACCAGTAAGTTCACAATCAGATTTCTTCTTTTTTCTTACAGAATGGTTAATCATTACCTCTCCTATGTTATTTTCTGTTTTATTTGTTTTTTGTTTAATCCTGGTAAGAATGAATAAAATGTTGTTTCTATCATCCTACTCAAAAAGAAAGGCAAAAAGATAAACCACAAAGTAAGGAATCAAAATATAGTTGCAGATTTCTCTCTGACCTAGATTGGGATTTAAACCATGCTACTATTGGCTGTCAAAGAATTTTTCAAGGGGAGGTTATAAAGAGAGTGAATACTTGGGAGAATGCTGTCCTGTACCCTGCACACAAAAGCCTTTAACTTCTGAGACATTTCAGTGGCTAATGATGAATCTTACCTTGGTGGTGTGTGTTGAATTTGCATATTCACTCACAATACTCTTTTTGGTCTAAATGCCTTGCTCTCTGGTGAAGTTCCCTGTTTACAAGAGAGCAGCGAGGCAGAATAAATTAGGAACTTTTAATGAAATCTGCTTCAGTCCAGTGGCTCCCACAAGGCAGAACAGGGAAGTGAAGCACTGAGTCACTATATATTTATATATATAAATATTATATATTTAGTATATGTTTAGCTTAAAAGTGCATGGGTGCTATAATACAGAGCATTATAATATTATTTTCCATTGTCTCAAGGCTTTTAGTTGCCAAAAATCTCAAAGAACTGCGCCTCCTAGAGAAACATTACACTTTTATTTGTTCAGCATTTTGAACAGTTTTATCAGATGTGATATGGACTTGACACTATCTGATTGATTTACAAGTATTTTATGCCTGTTGACTTAACACCAGAATCTCACCCCCGTTCTGGTAGATTATTTTGGCATGTATTTTAGCTTCTCAGTGCAGCTGAGGCTTTTATCTGTCCTAAGCAGGGCAGAGCCTTACAGGGTTAGGGAAACATGCCACTTCTGTTATCCCATCAGTGTTCTTCCTAGCCTCCAGCTAGGACCTGATGTGTGTTCCCTGCAGCAGCAGTCACCTTACACCACCAGCTTCATCCCTTAACCACCCAGTTCCACACCCCACCCCCCCCCAATTTTAATCCTTAACTGCTTTTCTGTGTCCTTTTACTCACCTTTCTCTGCCTCTGCATCCAAGCACCACTGTGCCCTTAGGTGCTTGCGAAAACGCTGCTCTGTGGAGCACCAGGGAGCTGATGGAGCAGCAGACGGCAGCATCTGTGCAGAGAGGTGATGACACTGCTGCAGGACAGCTCCAGGTCCTGCTCTACAGGTCCTGCCTGTGCCACAGACAGCTGGGCTTGCCTCTGGGGAGCCCCTGAAAATAACCTGTGTATGGCAGCTTGAAAACCTTTACCCCACACCACTGAGAAACAAACACATATTCAGGACCTTAATTATCACAGCGTGCTAAAGTACATGTTTGTTATGTTTGTGAGAAAAGCCTTTCAGAGCAATGTATACATTAGAACTGAGGGAGGGTGCTTTGGAGGACATTGATTACAGCAGGAATGAGATAAAACACTTCCTCTCTTTCAGAAAAATGATAAATTTTTTTATGAAAGCAATTTTTAGTTGTTTGTCCATAGTGATTCTTTCTCTTATGCAGATGCAAGTTGTGCTCACAAAGTAGTATGTACCTCTTAGTTTGGTCTCATAGCAGGTATGAAGACATTAATGCTATTTTTCAGCTAATGTTGGGGTAATAATATGTCAGAGGCAGAAATTTGTACTTATTTGTTCAGATCACGTTGAGTTCCTTATATGAATTTTCTGTCCTTGCAGGGTGGAGAACTGGCACAAATACATCTATTTCACATTTGCTTTTATCAGATTTTCTTCAATACTTCATAAAAATCATATGATTTAACTCCATTAATAAGAACTGTGATGCTAAGTTAGACCAAAGGTTCTCCTCAGCACCATAATGAGATTCAAGCAGGTGCTCTAAGAAAGTATTGAAGAACAGAGTACACAGTGGATGACTGCTCCCTTAGTAAATCCTTCCAGCTTTTGACATTTGTGTTAATTTAAAGGCATTGCCATACATTTCAAAGAGAAAAGGAGGCAGCTCAGAACATTTGTATTTAGTTTCTCCTTTTCTATATTTAGAAAGAGATTCTAAGACATTTACCAAATCTAACAAATATGTATGTTGCATTTTAAGAGAGACAAGTCAAGTGTAAAGGTAAACACCAGGAAGGCTTTGACTTCAATTGCTATCTATTTGATTAATCCTGTTTTGCTGCCTTTTAGTTGTATGCAATGGAACACCTGGTTGAAAAAGGGAAAGAAAATGCAGTGTTGTTACTGTTTTCTACTGCTCCCTCACCTGGGCCCTGCTCCCAGAATCCGAATGATAAGGATGGCAGTGCCACCCATAAATATTGAAACTGCGTCATCTGAGGGAAGAAAATGAAGACATCTTCCAAAAATGGAAGTTATGTAAGTAAGGAGCATACATATTAAATGTAGAACCACAAGAAAGCTCACCAAAAAGATTTTAAGGTTTTGCCAAGCATGTGAAAGGAACAGTCTAAATGTTTTCAAATTCCTTAAGCAGAGGAGTCCTGTGAGACTGTAAGCTATGGAGGATGGAATCACAGAAGAAGCATTCAACATGGTTATATCCACAGCTAAAAGAATTATCTGCCTTGCTAGATTTGGTGGGCTGATTGTGAGCAACTGTTCTCAAATAAATTGTCATCAGGAAACACTTCAAGAGAAATTGATAAATTAACCAGTAACTAATTGCTGAAGCCGTGCAATATTTCCACCAAGGGATTAAAATGCTCGGCTTCTTAAGTGCTAGTGCCAGTGGGTTGGTTTTTTGCTGATCCTGATCCCAATGTCAGCAAAACAGAACATAGGAAATATACCAGTGATCTGCTGGTGCTTCAACAGAGTCCTTCAGAGGTGACCATAGGAACTACTAAACTGTCAGTGCCACTCCTGTGCCAGGAAAACTAGATGAATTGCTGTAAAAAGTAAAATCAATAGACACAAAGACAAAGGTGATGCTCTGTAGGAGCATCAAATGGATTCTGTTAAGGGAGGTTATGCCTCACTAATCTACTGGCATCCTCTAAAGACATCAAAAAGCAAATTGATATTATTTTCATGCCTGAATGTGGGATCAGTGTAACCTTAGATTGCAAGATTAAGATTCTTGGGACCCTTACCCCCAAGGCAGCCTGGACTGAACTATTTCTTCTCTTCACCTGGATTCAAGCAAAGCAGGAATTCACATAATGTATATAACCTAACCATTTTTACAGTAATCTTCACTCCTATAGAAATAGCAAAGTAGAGAATAATGCACATAGCTCCCACAGTTTAAATCCCACGGGTAACAATATATAGTGTACTGAATTTTTAATAGCACATTATTCAGAGTATCACATAAATGGTTATTACTGATGTAATAAAACCTAAACCAGCACAGCTGGAGAGACCAAGGTTGTAAATACACCATATATTTTTTGTATTGTAATAATATGGGCCAAATCATTTTAAAGTCTGCTGATTTTAGTTGAATTAGACTAACTCTAAATGTGTACCTCTAATTCAGGTCCCTGGTCGAATGCCTTTGTCTAATTTATATCTCAATTTTTATACAGAAATGGCTGCATGGTACATAAGGAGTGTTCTCTGTTTTACAGATTGGTTCTCCTGCTGAGGAAGTCAGAGAAAAAATTCAGGTGAGGAAGATCTGAACACACTGTGATTCAGCATTCTAAGTGTTTTAGTACATAAACCCTCTATTTCTTTAGTTCTTGTGTTTTCTGATCACCCCTCTGTCTCTGCTGTAGTCCCTGGTGAAAAAGTGCTCAAGGTGAGAAATATTTGCAATGTGCAGCACAGGTTTAAGCCCTCCTTGGAGGAGGGGCAGGGCACACAAGGGGACCCCTTGAGAAATTGTTCTTTCTTCTCTGTGATCTCAGTGTCCAGATAAAACATTTCTATCCTCATCATGAACATGAGATCAAACCCTCACTACATGTTTGTACTTCAGGGTTTTTGCTCATAATCTTTAAAGCCTGACATATATATGTCTGCTGTTGCTGACACTGATTTCAGGGAAAACTAAACTGAACTTTTCTAAAGCAGAACCCAGGATTTTGCTTTGTTCTTGACTGGCTGGGCACACCATTAAGGCCTCAGCACATAACTGATGTTACTACACCCATATGTTATATATAGTTATATAAGTGATGATAGTGAATTTCACAGCTTGTTGTATGTGTAACACAGGCCCTGCCTGAGAGTTTCTGAGTCAGTTTAATCTCTCAAGAGCCGTGCTGGCACAGAGGGGCACAGATAACATTCCACAGCAGAGGGCCCCGTGACAGGGCTGTCAGTGCTGGCACCACATGGAAGTGTCAGGGCAATGCTGGACAGATGCTTACGTGCACCCCTGTTATCAGCTGCTCTGGGCTGTGCTGCCTTCCTAGCTCTGGGAGGAGCTTAGCTGGTAGGTTATGGTATGGACAAGTCTTTCTCAATGCATCCAGAGAAAGACTGTTTCAGTATAAGAATTTTGCTTTTAAGGCCTAGATCAATTAGTACAATCAATTTAGTACAGACAAATGCTTTGGCTTTTTTTTTAATTCCCTGCTCTTTTTTCCCGCATATTCCCTTTTCTCAAATAGCTTTGCTATTAAAAATAAAAGACATCTTGCTAAATATATTAATGCAGCATGAAGAAAACCTCTAGGTATATCCAGTGGGATCTAAATCCTGTGTTTTCTTAACCTGAATGGGATACATTATCAACACCTCTCATCATTCTACAGGCCACAGGTTCCCTATAGCAGCCCTGAGACTTATTAAGGCTACTTGTAGGGTTGTGAAAAAGGAAAACATCTGAGCCTACCTAACTGATAAAAGGAATGCAACATGAAAGCCCAAGATAATGACAAATTTGACTCTGCTGACACACAAAAGCAAAGTTATGTGTTTGGCAAATAGATGGAACTAACTAGGGTGGTTGATTTGTGGTTCTAAAACCTAATTTTCACTGGCAAAATGTCAGTGTTTCCTGTACCTGACTCACCAATCTACCACTTTCACCTGCCTCCCACTCTACTTGGCCCTCCAAGGAAGCCATCCAGCCACAATCTGACCCTCTGGTGGAGCAGGATATTCTTTCTGTAAGAGTTGCTGCTCCCAGTGCTTTGTCCCCTCTCTCCCACAACGAGAGCATTTCTTTGTTTTGCCTCTGGGTTCCACTCATCCCTCATCTTTTAGCAGGTGACTTGTTAGTCTGCCTGGTTTTCATTCTTTTAATTCACTTTCATTCAGAATCATTTGATGGTTAAAATCCTCTGTCTTTCCAGATACAAGTTTTGCTTCTGGGATTCCTTCTGTGTATTAAATATTTAGAACAAAGATGGTATATGTATCTCAGGCCCCTGTATAAGAATATTAGATTATATAGATTGCCAGGCCAAATTCCTTTGAAACTCCACAATCAAGACATTTTAATAAAAAAAAAGGTGGTCTGAGGTTCATAGCTGACCCTTCATAGGGTGTACTTGGGAGCAGACCCATCAGCAATTTTTTGTTACTTCTGCATGGTATCTATGTTCATTAAGGTAATGAAGCTATTAATTGAATATGTAAGTTCAAGTAATTAAATGCAAGACTTATTTCTTTAGTTTAAAGGGTAATAATAAAAAATTTAAACTTGCAAACTAGATCACACATTTAGTGATGATGAATGTGAGCTGGAAAGTGCAATATTCCAATATGAATTAGTTAATTGCATCCATTCATTAGGTGATACACATTAGCAGAAGGTCAATCCATTTGAGACTAGATGTGTTTTACAAATAATAAATTTCAACAGGTAAATTGAAGAGAAATTCAAAACAGAAAGTTTTTTTTAATATATTTAAATTCAGAATAAAATCCCTACATGCAAGAACACATTCCCTCTAAGTTCACAGTTACCAGCACATGCTCTTTTCAGCACTGCTGAGGTCACTCCAGCCATTGGGGGACAGGTAAACTGCTGGCTTAAACTAAAATGCTAATTTTTGAAACTGACCCAGTTATAAAGTGAGTCAAACATTGACCTTTTTCAAGCATTTTCTGCTTTATCACTCTCACTGAATTATTTGAAGCTTGCTTAAATCCCTACATTTGCATTTCAGTTTTGGACTAAATTTACCATAAATTTACCAGCAGCTGGTAAATTTACCAGCTGTATCCCTGTTGCCTGAACAAAGTATTCTGCCCTTTAGGCCTCTTCGTTTTGCAAATTCTGTAAATTTAACAAGTGTTAATTTGCCAGCATTTAACAGTTCTACTGGGTATAAAATGGTCAATATCACAGGTAAGAAAGCTGATCTGTTTGACTCATTTTACTAAAAATTATCCATTTGATTAATTTTTAGTAAAAAAGTGTTTAAATCAAGTTCTCTTCATTAGACATTTGTGAATATTCAGTAATAAAATAGTCATTCTTTAAATCAGCATTTTTTTCTGGTGTTAAAGGTAATGTAGAAATAAGGAAAGTAAAAGGAGATTTTATTCTGTTTATTTGTAATTTAAGATATATCCAGACTCAATTATTATTAAGATTTATAACATTAAAACAACTGATTCACTGAGAAACATGGAAAAATTCTGAAATAATATTTTAGAGGATCCTCACAGTATTGGGGGTGTTGCTTCACAGATCATGTTGCTTAGGTAGGTGTATAACAATGCCTTTTTAGTTTCTATGTATAATATAGCTTTGTCTGGAGCAAGGACTGCTCTCTTCCTGCACACAGCTCAAGGGCCATAATTCTTAAAGAGATTTCAACCAGTGAGCCTTTTGCAATGGTCAGGCATAGAGACATTTAGAGAATTGATTCAATTAACCTAGAGGAAAAAAGTGCTATAATGTGTGATTTATGTTTGCAGATAAATTAAAATACAAGTATCTCCTGAAGAGCATTTGCTGCCCTCATGGTTGGTAATGAAAATAGCAGGCAATTAAAATAGAACACCTGAGGTTGAAGCTTTAATGTATATATCAGAAAATGAAGTTCAGATTTCCTAAGTGGAAGTCTGAGCTGAAAAATAACTTAGGGGAAGTTTTTATTCAATCTCTACTTTTCTTCCAAAAGTAATTTATAAAGCACACAAGAAATAGGAAGAGACATTTACTGAAGCAGGAGGCAGAGGGTACAGAGGAGTGGGATCTCTCAATCAATACTGAATTTGTATGAGGAACCAGGAATATCCTTGCTAAATGGTAGTGGAACAGCTGAGAGAAAAAGTTATATATAAAAGAACTTATGGGTCATATTGAAATAATTTTGGGGTAGATTTTGCAGTTGAAAGGAATCATTGGAAGTGTCTGATAGAGTGATGTGACTCAGTTCCTTCCTGTGTGTGACAGTGCTTTCTGGAGCTCACTCAGGAGCATAAGAAATGTTCACAGATTAGAAGTAGTGAGAACGAAGAGCTCTTGCTTGGAGGTTTGTTGGAGTTGCTGCATCCATTGCCCATTTCAGTGGTGTATCCTATGTGCTTTGGCACAGGTGATCTGCCCAAAAGATGTTTTGAGATACAAAGAGATTCACCTTATCCTCTAGTTTTATGAATTCCTTTAGACAACAGATACACAGTAGCATAGAGAAGCAAAACACCAGTACTTTGACTGAGAAACCCAGGAATACCTTAATTACATCTCTATTGTCTTCAGCATTGCAACTTTGTCTTTTTCACCCTGTCTGGCTACTGCAGGTCCTGCTCCCATCAGATGGTGTTTGCATAAGCCAGGTCTGTATCCTTATGTATAAATAACACCAGTGCTGGGGATGGGTAGAGAAATTGAGGCTTCTAAATGTAAAAAAGGTATATATTCCAATTATACATTCAGATTGCTTCAAATATAAAAAACAAAACTCTCCAGGAATAAGTTTGATGTTGGCTGTATACTAGCCTAAATTCTAACACTGAAGCAAGAAACAATCACTTGGTTGTTCTTCATTTTATTAACAACCATTTCATCACAAAGTGTGAAGACTTTGTCATTGCAGTCTGAAACAGAACATATTTGTTTCCTGATTTGCTGTTTAAGTAAAAATATAATTAAAATGCATTCATGTGAGAGAAAATAGCCAGTCTAACTTAACTGACAGTTGATATAGTTTTGCAAATTTGCAAAAAAAAAAAGCCCAAAAAACCAAAACCAAAACAAAAAACAAACCAGAAACTACAGCACTGCAGTAAGTGGTTTGCTGTTGTATGGAGGTGTTTAGGGACCATTGGACTGAACCCTGAGTATTGTTTTTGTTTATTTTCTTTTTTTGGGTTGACTTTTTCTTTAACAAATTAATTAATTTCCTTCCATATTTATTGTTTTTACTGAGTCATTATCCCAATGTCCAAGGCAATCCCTTCCACAGTAAATTATACATTAAACATTCACTTGCATGATTTGAAGCCACGGCTCAATTTGTTGTCATAAAGTAGCCAGTGTGGTGCTGGAGCCTGGAAGCAGCTCCCCAGGCTGGGTCGTCATTGTCCCCAGAATCTCTTCATTCCTCACTCTGCTTGGCAGAGCTGCTCTAGTCCTTGGTGAGAGCCCACCTTGGCCTGGGCACCAAGGGCTGAGGCATCAGTGGTTTCCCAGGTGGTGGAAGAGGAACTCCAGTGAGTCCCTTGCTGTCCAGAAGAGCAACAGGCCAGGTGTGCCATGTCTTCTGGGGAACCCTCCGAGAGTGGCTGCACACCAGGAGCCTGTGGAATGGCAAATGCAGCCCCAATCTCCATCTGGGAATGCCAACAAGCCCTTGGTCTAAAGGTCTCCAAGAGCTTTTGCAAACGGAATTGCTTTTAGATGTAAGAGGAATGTGGTTTGTACAGCAAGAAGTTGATGAAGGTCTTAAGCAGTTCCAGATTATGTGGGTTTGAGCTGCATCTCCACACACACATCCCTTCTCACCAAAATCTCCTGAATTTTATTGATCTAATAATGAAACTGTCATACAGTTTCCTCATTCCTGAAACTTGTTTAAATGCATTCTTTTTTCGAAGGAGCACATCCTCTCTCTGATTTATTTTAAAATGGCTTTTAGAAGGTGTCATCCTTGTGATGAAGTGTTAGGTCTGTGTTGCCAGTGTGCCATTAAAAATTGAATTTCTGACGTTTAAATGTCTCACTCATCCCAAGTGTCACAGTTTGACAGCTCTGCATGTCACATTACAGCAGAATATTATGAATCCATTTCCTCTGTCAGGTCAAAAAAAAAAAAAAAAAAAAAAAAAAAAAGACTGAAAATGAGAGAATGCAAAAGCTGCAGTCTTCTTCATTAGTGAGACGGAAATTCACAGAAACAGGCATGTTAACCCCGAAATGACTTAATTGGTACTCTGTGCCTTGTGCTGCCTGTCTGTGCCCGAGCAATCTTTGTACCATGTTCCTGTACAAGAATACTAAGGGGATTCTGGGACAATCCTTTCAATTGTCTGTGAACATGTCACACACGGAGTGAGGAATATAAGGGCAAATACTATAACAAAATCAAAACATGGCCAGATCTCATTGTTTATTCTCGACTATGTCAATGAAAAGGTCATGTGATGTATTTCTTGTTGCTTTGTTTTGCCAACTTTAGACAGCGGTAACTTTGGTGTCCTTTATTTGTTCATCTATCTGGTACGTGATAACTTCAAACCATGACATCTGATCGGGCTCAAAACATCGGGAGTGTTTGCATCGGTAAGCAGAACTTCACTGATTTTGCCTAAAGTAATGAAAACGGCCTGGGCTTTCTATGTTTTCTGCCTAGGTTTGACCAGGGAGAGTGTAGGGCTTTGACAATAAATTTCTGATGCCTGTCAGCTCGTGGATCTGGCTCCATGTGGCCGCTGCCTCCCCAGTAACCTGCCGTATGGCATTGCCCAGCCTCTTCTCTTGCACGACGTGGCCTCCCACTAAGAGAGCCCCCGCAAAAATAATAGTCGGCATCAGGTAGCTGTTGATTGAACAACTTATTCTGCCCTTTAAGCCGCTTCCTTTTGCGGAGAACTTTGAGGGAAAGCGCGGCCGCGGCGGGGCCGCCCGGGCCGTGAGGC